CCTGAAGATAAGGAAGAACTTCTTTGTGGTGGGAGTAACAGAGCCCTGGGACGGGCTGCCCAGGGGGTGGTGGAGTCCCCAGCTCTGGAGACTTTCAAGGCTTGGCTGATGTACTCTGGGTGATCCTGCTCTGGCAGGGGGGTTGGACTAGATGATCTTTTGAGATCCCTTCCAGCCCCTAACATTCTGTGAATCTCTGCCTAAATCCCGTGGGCTGAGGGGAACCTTCCCTTGATTGGACTCAAAGGTCTTTTCCAACCTAAATAATTCTGTGAGTCTGTTTGAATACCTGACTTTCTACAGCCTCAGGGTATGATTCCCCAGGCCAGGCTAGAGGGGCTTGCATTGTTCTTCAGGTTTATGCTCAACTCAAATTGTTGCTTTTAAAACCCTTGTAGCAGTTTGGCTTTGGCCAGAATTTAGGTGTGAGTGATGGGCCTGCTGAACTCCACTCACGTTGTCCATTAGCTGTAATCAGGCCTCTGAGTACTTGCTGTTTAGGATAAATAAATCCCTTGCAGACTTCTCTCGGCGAGGGGGGGAGCAGGATAAGTTGTTGCTTACATTGGGAACGGAGAGAACAAACTGTGCACAGAATTTTAAAAACCATCCAAATAAGATGGAGCAAAGAAAGGAATACTGAAGCACAGGCTTGTTTCTAAGTCCAGTTCAAGGAAGGTCTCTTTAAAACAAGCATCTTTTGAGGCAGTGCAGTGAAAATGAGGCATAGTAATAATACTGGATGCAAAATTGTTTTGAAATGCAGGACTGTTTTCCAGCAGTTTTCTGCTGCTCTTCACTCTGTCTTATTTAATTTATGGAGCAGTTCATTTGTTCCAAGATATTTTGAACACGTTCATTGCAGTTGTGTTGACTCTAGGCAGCTTGCAGAGAATATTTGGGGATGTTGTGTGGCAATCTTTGAACTGGGAGCTCTGCTGTCATTTCCAGTGTACATACTGGGAGCTTGAGTAACTTCCTAATAGTCCCTTGTGTGGTTAGAGAAGGGGAGACCAAATCTCCTGGCTCTCCCAGCTCTTTGCTTTAATTATGTTTGTCCAGTTTTATTCAATATATCCTCTTCCACAAGTGGTTGCCATCCAGAAAAGTCCTAGTTAGGAAGACTACAGAAAGGGAGGAATTGTTATTCTGGGTGATTTGAGTGTCTGCTGTGCTGGTGAACATGGAGCAGGAGGATGAGATGCTGTAAATGGACTTTAATGGGATTACTTAGGGAGCCACACACAGTTTGTCTGTGTCCATTAATCTTTGGCTTCTTCCCTGCAGCATTTTGGGGTTTATATTAATTATATCTACATTGTCTCTGTGGATGCTCTTGTAAACCCAAGGAAATCTTTAACCTTTTCTTAAAATAATATGCTGTGACTTCACTCACTGCTACCTGGAGCATCCTGCATTTTCACACTAGTATATAATTTTGTTTGCTTATGTTGAGTCTGATCAAATATCTACTTGCTAATGGATTAGGAGAGCTTGTGGAAGCCCAGACAGATAACGTGTCTTTACTCTGCCTTGGTTTATATGACACAGGATCTTTTTTACCATGTGCTGAGCAAGCCCCTTTAGTGTCATTGAAAACAATTTCACAGGAGCCTCCTGTTTCTCCTTTAAACAGAGACTTGTTGGCTGTGGTCATAGTATGTCCTGGTTGAGAGAGTAGCCAGATGTTCACATCTCAGAAATTTTTTTCATCTGCAAGGTTCATAGCAGAGCTGACCCAAAAAAAAAAGGCAGAAAAAGGGCATTTGGCCTTAATTTTTTACGCTGAACAGCTTAAGAAAGGGTTGAAGAGTCTGTGCAGTGACAGCGTGTAATGAATGCACTGGGAAATGGTGATTTTACATTTCTAATCATTGTAGATCAGTGTAATATATTAATTCTTGGATAACTGCCTCCTGAAGACTCGTGTTCTGGATTTCCTGATCTCATTTCTGGCCACAGATTGTGAATAGGCCGTAGGATTTTTTGACAGCTGTTGGCTTTTGAGAGAGCAATTACAGCGAATATAAAGCTTAATGAACAAGCATCTTCCTCGTGGTCTCTCCACAAGCCTTGCCCACACCTGGGCTTCTCTGTTTCTAGAAAAAGTGCTGCTAGATGAGGTCAGAGACCCTTGGCAAGGGAACGTGGCTGGGAGCTCACTGGGGGTGGGGGACAGAATGAGGAAGAAATAAAAGGTTTCAGTCTTGAGGCCTGTGTTCAGACTCTCATTCCTCAGTGCAAAGAGTTGTTTAATTGAACGACCAGAGGTGAGAATCCTGCCTCTCTCTGGATGGTAATCTCTGTCTTACGTTGTGTTTCCAACCTGTAGCAGATAGATGGTGTGGCCTTCCTGCTCCTGAACCAGAGCGACATCATCAAAATACTCAACATCAAGCTGGGCCCTGCCCTGAAGATCTACAATGCCATCCTCATGCTGAAGCATGCAGAAGACAACTAAGAGCTCTTCGCCCACAAGGAATTTTCAGGGAATAAATCTTCAACTGAGGCCTTTACAACGTGCCCAAAACTTAGATTAGGACTTAAATGGATTTTAAGTAAGACTTGTTAAAAATAAAAATTCTGCCACCGTTTGCAGTATGAGGCAGTTTCACTTCCAAGAAGAGGATATTATTATATTTTGTAATTGAATTTGGTTTTGATATATCAATCTCTTTGAGATCTAGAAGAAACCTCCAGTTATAAGGGGAGTCCAAGGTAACATCGGTGGGGCTGCAATCACAAGAAGAAAATGTTACAAGTAAAGAAATTACTTTCTTTAGTAGAAGAAGACATTTTATGAGTAAAATGACCCATGATAGTGCCTGAAAGAGAGACTGACCTATCACCAGCATGTTTAATATAGCCTATATGTGTAAAAACTCTGAGAAGAGTGTAAGAAAATAGGAAGAAGATTCACTTCAGAGCAACTCATCTCTATCCTTCAACGCTGTGACTAGAGCTGACCTTCTCAGTTCAGATTTTCCAATTTGACTTTCTCCTACTGATCCTGGTCTAATACCCTGGCTACTGGGCTGCTGCTGCCACAGCAGGAGGGCAGCAGGGGCAAAGGACTTCCACCAGGGGTGGCTTGTGTGCTGCAGAGTGTTCTCACTTGAGTCACCAGCGAGTGGGAAGCACGCTCTGTGTTAGGCTTTGGGTAGACCAGGGTCTCTCACAGAGACAAAGATCAATATTTTAGGTGTCATTCTCCCATCAGTGCTTTTGTGCTGCTGCTGTCTGGACCAGCAGCACCTTACAGCAAAATGGCACAAGCAGGAGCACCTGGGAATTTGATGGATTCATTCTTGCCTTCTCCACTGTCAACGAAATGCTGGAAACAGGAGTTGGAGAGCCAGCAGTGACCACCATACACGTACAGATGCAAACAGATATCCCAGAAACAATTTGCTTTTCTTTGGGAACAGTTGAAACCTGTGAACTCTGAGTGCTTTAGGCTCTTCAGCCTCTGGGTGGATTTTGCTCTGTTGTGCTGAAGGGTCAGGGAGCTGTAGCAGCAGGGCACCAACTCCTCTGCCTCTCCAGTGGCTGGGCAGGCAGAGCACACGGAGAACTCAGACTGGAGGGGAACTGGGGTTTGCACAGGCAGCAAAACGAGGTCAGAATGACTTCTCAAAAGAGAGGCAGCTCATCTCTGTCAGGGAGGAAGCCAAGCGTGGGGCTGTGTCCCTGTGCCTGCAGTCTGTGCTGTCCTGCTGGGAGGGGGGCACGAGTATTCCCTGTGCTGCTCCTAGAGCATCGTTTGGTGAAGGTGCAGGTGGGACTGGGATGTCCTGGGGGAGAGGTTTCCACACTGTTACTTCCAGAGCCATCTTCTGATGGAGGCCCTGGGAGAAGTGGAGAGCCCTCCCGGGCTCTGCTCAGGATCACCTCTGGTGCCTGACAGCATTCTAGCTCCTGACTCTTCCTCTGACCAATCCCTGTGGATATTTGGCTGTTGTGGAGTTTAGCTAGAACCATCCTAGCTAGGGGAGCCTTTCCCCCCCTCCAGTCAGAGCTGAATCCTGTGTTTGGGAACACTTGGGTGTGTTGACAAGGTGTTGCCAGAGACAGAGGTGCCATCAGCCTCAGCCCAGGGTTGTGTGAGTGTCTCGGGGCACTGCGTGCTGAGATACAATCCATCTGCAGGCACCTCAGCCTCCCTCCTTGGCATGTTTGTCAGCAGTGTTGCCATAGTCCCAGCCCTGCAGCTCCTCTGAGAGGGGTTGGGAACAGAACGAACACTCTGTCCATGACCATGTGGTGGCACAGGGAATGCACTTGGTCTTCCTTCCCTCATCACTCCGTGTCCTTGGTCCAGCCTTCCAGCTGCTGAGAGGGTCCTTGTGACTTGCCTAAAGGAGTAAGTTCCTTAAAATTGTAAACAGAGCAGAATCCACACTGCTGAAGCTGTTCAGTCCTGGATTCATGTAGAGAGCAATTTATAGAGCGATTTTGCGCCTTACTTTATATTTTTGTAAAATATCTTCAGGAGTTTAAGCCTTCCACAAAGACATGTTGAGTTGGTGAGGTATTTAATGGCTGAAACATGAAAAAATCAGCCAGGCAACGGCAGGGGAGTAATTTAATGCCATGTTAAGGACTAAACAAGGTATGAATTTAATTTATTGAAATAGATTTTTAGTATGATAACCAGGATATTCACCAAAGAGTCACGTTCCTCTGTCCTGCTCCACATGCCCAGGGTCAGTGTGAAGACTTGATCTGTGGCATGTCCTGGACTCTGACACAACTCGCCTTCTAGGCAAAGCAGAATTTCTTCCTGACAAGTGGAGCAGAGGATTTGTAGCTGGGCTGGTTTGTTCCTGGCTCTTTGACTTGCTAAATAACCCTGAGCCCGCCTTTGCTCCAGTGTCCCCTGCTGTGACACCCAGCCAGGTGGGGTGAGGGCTGTTTCACCTCCCTCTTGTTTCCAGCAAGCAAATCCTGCCAGATTTTCTGTTTTACCTCCTTCCTTTGGGAAGCTGAGTTAAGGGACAGCAGTCTGCCTCCAGCAGTAAAACAATATGTAACATTACTTCATCCCTTTACTATATATAGATAGAGGATGAAGAGAATCAGTGAAACGAGCAATGAGATTCCAGTCACTGAAATTATGCAAACAGAGAGAAATCTTTAATCCTAGAGGCTTCCAAGCCAGCTGGATGAAAGCTGAAAATGTGTACTTGGAGCTGGTTCAGTGACAGCGAGAGCGGTGCTCTGGGCAGGGAGGAAGGAGGGACCTTTTTAGGGAGAGGAGGAGGAGGAGGAGGAATGTGCTTCTCGTGCCTTTTTTTGTAACCCGATAATTGTCTTTGCAGAGCAAGCAAGAATGTGCACACATCAATTACCAACTCCCTCCCCAAATATAGCTAGATTCTGACCAAATCCAGCAGCTTCCCCATGACATGGGGGCAGAAACTCTGCAGACTGGGCTCTGCCTCTTCCCAGGCCTGGGCGAGGTTGTGTCGAGCCTGGTGGGGGGGCCTGTGGGTGCCTTTCATTGTCTCATTTCTTGTCCTTTCGTTTGAAATACGCACTTTGAAGCTGAAAGCCAAAAGTCAGAGCTCTGTGGTGAGCAAAGCTGAAACTGGTTAATGCCACCTGGTTTTAGGAGGGTTTTGTTGGCTGCTGAACGTCAGCGTGAAGCAGCTGTCGGCCCAGCTATGCTCAGAAGTCACTTAGAAATATCAATATATTATTTTTTAGGCAACCCAGAGCTGTGACAGCTTCCCATGGGGTGGGGTTAGGAAGTCTCAGTTCTCAGTTAATACAAATCTTACTCCTGGATGTGGTTCTGTTCCCCTATCTCTGAGTTGGAAATCCAAAAATAGAACTTTTATTTTTTTCCTCTTTTTCTCCTCGGTGGAGAGTCCTGTTAAATTTGTTTCTGTGCCATCACCACCGATCATCTTTGTAATCCAGCAGCAGCATATTTCTGCTCGGGGTAACGAATCGCATTCTCTGGCGTGGAGACCAGCTCCAGTGTAGGTAGACCCTCACAGGGGAGGGAATTCACGGCAAAAGGGACCGGCAAGGAGCGTTTTTGGGGGGCTTTTTGGAGCAAAGGCGGCGGCTAGCCGACTCTGAGGGGCTGACAGCTGCTGGGCTGCGGCGACGGGTGTGGCCCCCAGATCCCCAGCGACTGCTTTGAACGAGGCGGGAACACGCCAACGGTCCCTCGGCGAGGAGACCAGCTCCAGTGTAGGTGTTCCCTCACTGGGGAGGGAGTTCACGGCAAAAGGGTCCGGCAAGGAGCGCTTTTTGGGGGCTTTTTGAAGGAAAGAAGGCGGCTAGCCGGCTCTCGGGGGCGGAGAGCTGCTGGGCTGCTGCTGAGGCGACGCGGGCGGAGGGCGGAGCCGAGAGCTCCGGCGCCTGCTTTGAACGAGGCGGGAACACGCCCGCGGTCCCTCGGGGTGCTCGCACCCCTCCCCTGGCAATCAAGCGAGGGCGGAACCGGCCTCCCCCACTGTTTTTCGAGTAATTAGACCCCTCTGGGAGGGCAGCTGCCCACAGAGCTTGGCTGTGTGAGCACCAGGGGTGCCCTAACTCTTTGTAGCTCACAGGGCGGGGACCCAGAGCAGGAAGTGGGAGAATCAGCACAGAGGAATTGGTTCCTCCCGGGCCAAAGCGATAACGGTCACACCACGGGTAAGAGCTGCACGGAGGAATGACTATGGCAGAACAGAGCGTGTAGAAGTGAGGGAGATCAGTTGAGCCACACTCTGGGGCAAAGCCAGCAGGGAGAAGGTCTTCATGAAGTGGTGGAACCCCACCCCTCCTGTCATCAGGTGGAAGGAGGGGACATAAGGGACAAGGGGGATTGGAAAGAGTTCCCTCCTGGGGGGGGCAAACGAAAACAAAAACCTCCTAGGCCCTGCTCCACTTCTCAACCACTGTTATCTAATAGGTATGGGCCTTTGGAACTTGATGGCCAGCCAAACGGAGCTGGAAATGAGGATCAATCTGGTGAGTTGCATGCAGCTTGTCACTCACCCCAGCCTGTCAAGACTTACTCCATTAAGAAAAAAAAGGAGGGTAATTGTAGTGGGCAGCTCTCTTCTGAGGGGAACATTTGTAGACCAGACCCATCCCACAGGGAGGTCTGCTGCCTCCCAGGGGCTTGGGTTAGAGATATTAAAAGGCAAATTGCTGCTCTGTTGAAGCCCCTGTCTTCTGCCTCCCAGGGTCTTTGGTTAGAGATATTAAAAGGCAAATTGCTGCTCTGTTGAAGCCCTCTGATTATTACCCCTTGTTTGCTGATGACACATAACTGGGAGGTTTGGCTGATACCCCTGAAGGCCGTACGGCCATTCAGTGAGATTTGGACAGAC